TAACTTAGTGTGTGGTTGTTGTGTTGGCGACAACTTCTACACCTTAACAAATTCTTGCCTAGGAGGCACTTGGGCCGGCCATCCTCTATTTCAAGGGGCTTCCATTATACCTTAGAAATAGATAAATAAACTTGTTTTAATGATGCATTATGACAGTATTAGTGGAACAATTATGCACATGACAGCATATCAAATTTGCTGTACATGAGAAACAAATGGGGTGTTTTTGCAGAGTGAGAACACCAATAGAACTTTGGAAACGTGCCTGGAGATGACTACAGCTCCTCCCCGACTTATGGCCTACTCGACTTACGACCACCTGCACTTACGACCTGCCTCGGTTGTACCAAAATTTTGTCAAATTACTTATTTTCAAGTCCCAATGTCAGTACACAGACAAAATTTTCGTTTGTAATTCACTTTAAAATGGCTGGCAAGCTTAAAAGTGAGAGTTTTGTGGTGCTGAGAAGAAAAAGAGACCCATTTTAGATTTTCTATGTATTATTTAAGCATTTTCGACTTACGACCTGGATTTGGGTCCCTAACCCCGTCGTAAGTCGGGGAGGAGCTGTATTTTTAAGTTCTTCTTGGATACATTACCTGGGATGGGGCTTTGGGGCTAGCTTTAAGTGTTCAGGCCATAAGCATAAAACAGTCGTTGGTGGTAGGGAATAAGTCTTGACTTTTGATGTAAGCAACAACTGATGGATACAACATTTGCATGTCTTAGTTATATGGTATTAAGTCAAATTTTAGCAAGTGATCATTCATAATATCAAAACTTATTTGTACTTATTTATTAGACCCACTCCATCTACCCAAACAGAACTCCTGAAACATTTTCTTTGCCTTCACTGGTAAGCTTTGACAAAACACAGCACCTTCTGAAGTAACAAATTTATTACATGTGGGTCTATTGTCTTGTAGGGAGAATTCTAGTGAACCCTTAAACAACATGTGGAATAGGATTCCTGTTACACTAATTTTTGCATCAAAGTGAATATTTGCATTGCCAAAGCCAGATACTCATCCAATTATAAAGGAAATTATCCTCTATGAATACAGTGGTCCCTCGGTTAACAAACATAATTCGTTCCAGAAGGTCGTTCGTTAACCGAAATTTTTTTTAACCGAATCCATTGTTTCAATGGGATATTGGGTAATTGGTTCCAGCTCACCGAAAAGTACATACAAAGTAAAAAAAAGAAACAAAAATGCAGTAAAGTACACTTACTTTGAGGTGTTTATGTAGAAGGTTCTTGGTTGATGATGATGATGGGAATTAGAAGTGGGGGTGGAGGAGAAGGGAGAAGAGAAGGAAGTGGGGATGGAGGAGAAGTCACCTTTCAGGGATCCCATGCTTGATGCCGTCATTTCACCAATAAAATTTTAAGTTCACTTGGTGCAATTCAAGATTAGTTTCTTTAAATCAATACTGCACTGCGCTATATATTATCAATATGCCAAGACACCAGCAAAATAGATGCGCTCTCCACTGTTTTCGAAGCCCAACTGACGTCTTGTGATCGACTCACGCATTTGATGGGCGCACAACAAACTAGTTCCCTGTACTGCATATATTATCAGTATTTTAAATAAATGTTAAAATGGCTAATAATTTTGATATAAAACATGCAAAAATATTAAAGAGCACAACTTTATTGATATTTACTCCATTGGAAACGAATGTAAACATAGAACAGATAATTGAATCGACAGAGTAGCCCATCAACTGATCAGCTGATGCTCACAACAAAACTTGATTTTCGGAAGGATTTCGTTATCGAATTTTTGTTCGTTAACCGAATTGAAGATTCTTATGGAAGGTAATTCGTTAAGCAAACCGTTCGTTAACCGAGGGATCACTGTAGTCTGAGTAACTTTCAATTGTTTATTAGGTCTGCCCTTGACACTGAATTGAACAGGAAATTTTATCATTACAGGTTGACAACCCTTTATCCGAAAACCGAAAAGCTCTGAAAACCGAAAGTTTTTTTTTGTGGAGCAATATATATATACAGTCGACCCTCGTTAATTCGGACCCCTTTAATCCGGATTTCGGATAATTCGGACAAAATCTGAACAAACTTTTTTTTTTTTTTTTTTTAAAGATTTGTAGGAATATTACCTACGCGGACCTTAAGCTAAAATGCTGGTCCACCCACTGCTGGGATAAAACACCAGCGTCTTTTTGGTCAAATGTAACATCACCACTAGTGTGGGGGTGAGATGCAACTTTTAGCTTCAGACATGAAAAATATTTACCATTTACTGCCAGTAAACAATGGAAACGTAAAATTTGTACCAATTAGTAATGAAAAGTTGTGCAGTTCCTTCAGCAAATGAAGCTCACCAACTTACAATAGTAGTCTATGTTGAAGTTCTTAGCACAGGCTAACTTATCATATCATATATGGTATCACAGTTCTCATTGATCTACAAAAAATACCGGTAATAAAAACCTTTTTGATATTTCACACTTAATATAATACCCGGTAATCTACTTCAACCTCCTATTGTTTACAACGACGCATGACGCACCACCAGCTGTTGAGTATCAGCTACACGGTACACGTGTTTTTCGAATCGTTTTCAGTAAAAAAAATGTTACATCACACGTATATTTTACCTAAACTGCGCCTGAATCAATATATTCTTGGAAATAAATAGTAGTTTTGCTGAAACGTGATGTATTTCAATGTAAAATAAGATAGAATACATGATGCAAACAAAAGACTTTACCTAAGCTTCTGATGTTCTTGAGATGTTATTCGTTTTTTTAATAGATTTGGGTTAAAATACTGTTATATTACAATGGTATTCTATTCATACTGTGCTTGATATAATGCATTCACGGAAATGTAATATTTTTGCTGAAATTACGTACGTATTACAGTGGAAAGTGGGATAAAATCGTGACGAAAACAATGACTTTGAAATATAATGCAATATTAACCCCTAAATCGGTTAATTCGGACAATCGGCTAAAACGGACACCCTTCCCCCCTATTAGTCCGAATTAACGAGGGTCGACTGTATGTATATATATATATATATATATATATATATATATATATATATATATATGTATGTATGTATGTATGTATGTATGTATGTATGTATGTATGTATGTATGTATGTATGTATGTATGTATGTATGTATGTATGTATGTATGTATGTATGTATGTATGTATGTGTATGTATGTATGTATGTATGTATGTATGTGTATGTATGTATGTATGTATATATATATATATATATATATATATATATATATATATATATATATATATATATATATATATATATATATATATATATATATATATATATATATATATATATATATATAATCCCTGTAATTTTTTTTTTAACAGGATTAGCCCACCCAGGAATAGATCACTGACCCACATCGGGGCCTTGGGGGCAAAAATGTAATAGCAATACTAATTATAATAATAATAATTATAACAATAATAATTATTCATAGTAAATAAAAATTTTAATAAAAATACACTAAAATATAATAATAATGATGACAATAATAATAATAATAATAATAATAATAATAATAATAATAATACTGTATTAATAAAATAGTAATAATAATAATAATAATAAAGAAATACAAGAATGAAAAAAAAGATAAAAAGTGAGAAACATAACCTAGACCTATGAATTATTATTATTATAATTATTATAATTATTATTATTTTTTCACCCCCAGGCCCCAATGTGGGTCAGTGACTTGTGCCTGGATGGGCTAATAAACATAAAAAAAAAAAAAAACCATTCTGAAAACCTAAAAATTCCGAAATTCCGAAATGCCTCTGGGCCCCAAGGATTTCGGATAAGGGATTGTCAACCTGTATCACAATTGAATTGCTGTATTCTTGCAACATGATAAATAAATAAAGGTTGGAAGATGCCTTATAATGCTGGAATTGTGTGGTACACCTGAAATTTCTAACAGTTCATATAGTAAAAAGTAAATGTGTTGATTACCTCTGGTCGTTACTACAAAGCTGACAGGTTTATGACATTCGTTGATCAAGGGAGAAGGTTGGATTGTGGTTGTTACTGGAAAATCCAGTTTGGTAGAGCAAACTGTGGATGGTAGGGTTATGTAGGCTGCAGTAGCACCAAGATTTAATCATCTCTCAGCCATCAGTGGTAATTGTCACAATACTGTGTCCCTCTTTTGTAAGATGTGGTTGTAACAGAAGAGGGATATAAATTGTTCAATTAGTGCTGCCTGTCAGTAGTGTTTAAGACCCATAGCTTTTGTCCTGAGGATTGCGGTTTATGTCCATAGTACCCCTAGTGTGCCCTGCTAGGAATGGATACCTAATTTTTTTCAGTTGGGGAAGTGAAGATGGTCATGTACAGTCCCCTTCACTAGTGTGTTTATAGGAGCTCATCAGGTTTTGTGCAGTGTGGCAGAGTGATGTTTGTTTATTTTCGACAGAAGGAAACTTGCAATAGTAAACACACTATGGAACAAACTAAAACAATATTAAGACAAATGTCTCAATGTAATGATTTGTGGAATGTTTATATGACGAGCCCTTGTGAACGCACTAGTAAAGGGGACTACATTGCTAGCCAAACTGCCTCCTTGTATACAAAAAATGTAGTGTAGTTTAGTGTACAGAATGTTTTATCCACACTGCCCCTAATGGGCTATCAGGCTTGTAGAACTTGCATTCTCTGCTGATGAGCCATAAACTTAATGGCACAGTACTCAAGCCTCTGAAACCATTATCATCATTGCTTTATGGCCATTTTCCTCAGTTGCTTGGGTTAAGCTGCAGTTTCCTGATGGCAGCTCTCCATGCCACAGAGTCTCTTGCAAAATCTCTTAGTCAGGTTCCTAACTTTAATGTCATTTCTTAAGACCTTTCCTCGTGTCATTCTTGGCCAACCCATGACTCTCTTCTCCACATTTAGGCTCTTGCACCTCTTGACCCAATATAGTTTCCTCCATTCTGTCTACAGGCCCAAACCATCTCAACCTGCCTCTACACAGACCTTTGCCAATACAGGTACAGTACTCTCAATACCCAGTCGTCCTCTTAGCTCTGAACAGGGTATCCTGTCTTTCAGTGTCATGTTGCACATCCATCTCACCATTCTCATTTCAGCTTGCTCAGTCTACTTGCATCATCCTCTTTAACCAATGATAGTCATAGAAATTTGTAAATTTTTACTGGATTTTTTTTTTCACATTTAACACATTTATACATAAACCCTTTTGATAATCAAGGGCCTTGCTAGTTATTTATTTATTTTATTTATTTATTTATTTTTTTTAAATGAACTTACTGGAAAATCATGTATACCCCTTTCTCCCCCACCACTATTTTTTTTAGGTTCTCTTAAAGGTCATAAATGATTATCCTGCTCATCAATAACCTAATATTAGTCTTCAACCCTAGAACCCCCCCCCCCCCTTTTTTTTCTTTCTTTCTTTAAAGGTTACATACTTGCTGTCATCCTGTACCATTACTTAATGTACTGCCATTGTTTGAGTAATGACCTTTTAAATTATCACTCATAGCTATCATCTTGATGGATGACACTCAGTAACTCTGAGTTCAAGGTCCATGATCCATTCATTCAATGATTTTATTAATTCTAACCATATATATTCAATAGCACTTCACCTCATATTGTCATTATCCCTTGGAATATGTTGACATTTGGCAATGTTTTGTGAGAATAGTTCTAATAGTGGGTGCCTTCTCTTCCATCCCCATGATGAGACTTCCCGTGCTCATAAATGATTATCCTACCTGTGTATCTCTGTTCCCAGAATTCCTAGAAAATGAGTAAGTTTAACATGGGACAGGGTTCACATTATAAATTTTTGGTGTAAATTGTGCCAATATGACTGATTGTTGCTATGGTAACAGTTCATGTAAGGATAATAGGACTTCTGTGGAATTAAAAGAAATATGATGACCTACAAGTCTCTAGCAGTGACTATTAATGTGCAGTAACAGCATCACCTGTTCAATATTTACCCATGTCATGGTAATGGTTTATTAGCAGGATTTGCATCTGCTCCAGACTGTGCATATTAGCAGACTTGGACGTGCCCAGACTTGGAGCCAAATAAGTGGTTTTTCATGCCTATGTGCCCAGCAGACAAGTCAAATTTTGAGACCTGTGCCACCAGCCATTTCCACTGAGGATTGTTATTCAAATTCTCATTTGTTTTCCCTGACATACACTTCTGGAATGCAGTTTGCTAACCATTTTTTGCAATGATCACTTGAATGTTTGCTGATAAATCCTGGTGCAGGGATGGAGGGTGGAACACATCATCCCTTGTCCATTTTGAAACAGAAACATATCTTATCCATTCTCTCCACATGCCCAAACTGTCTTGGTCTACCTTACGTAAAATTTTACCAATACTCTCAATACCCAGCTGCCCTCTTAGCTCTAAACAGGGTATCCTGTCTTTCAGTGTCACATTGAACCTCCACTTCACCATCCTCATTTTAGCTTACTTGAGCCTTTGTACAGAGGTCTTCACTAAATGCTGTACTGATATACAAATTTCACATATACTGTACAGTAAAACTTCACTAAGGCAGACTAATTGGGGGGGGGGGGGTTGTCTGGGATAAGAGGTTGTCCACCTTAAAGCAAATTAACAAAATAAAAAATGCCATTTTAAACAAACCAATGTAGTACAACAATGCATCCAAATTATATGAAAGAAATTCATGTTTTTGAATCAAAATTAAATTAAAAAGTAATGTACACAAAGTACTGTACATTTGTGCCATTTGGTTGCCGGACAATGAAATTTGTCAATAAGACTCGATACTGTACTGTAGTTTCACTACTCACGGGAGACATCTGAAACCCCTCACTCATCCCTCTTCTTAACATATGTAGAAAGTTTATTCTCTTTTATGTTTTTTTTACTTTATGATAATTAATTATCTAATTTCTTTGATACATTCTTTATGTAAGATTGAGAGTGCATGTAAAATAGTAAAAAGAAAATTATATGTATCTACCCAAAATTAGCAGTAGAGAAATAACCATAACAGCTCACAGCTTGGCCCGGAGTGGTAGGGGGATGTGACTATAGTGATGAGTTTTGTGTTAATATCACAAATACAAAACTAACATAAAATACTGAACTAATCAAAATATAAAAAAATTTAAGGAATATTATCACTGATGTAAAGTAACGGCCTTCATGGTAAGTCAAAAGACTGAAGCAAACTTTCGAGTCTTTGTACCTCCTTTCCCAGCATTCATAAAGCATAAACATAAATAAAGATAAATGACTAAATTGTCAATTCTCAATAGACTTGGTGATACATCACATGACAGGTTTGGTAGGAATGTTGGATGTGATGGCACTCTGCATTTTGGATAACATTCCCTGTACAGCCGTACCACCTCTGCCATACTTCCACCAGCTACACCCAGTGACAGATTCATATCTGCATATTTGCCAAATGAATATTCCTCCATGTCCACTTCCATTTGCTCGCCCATCCCTGGTTGATACAGACGTGGGCAGCCAACCTAAAACTACCACCTCGCATCAGCTTGTTGTGTTCCCCTCCCTCCTCCGATCACCACCCTACCCTCCAAACCACCCACCATTACCCCTGCTCATTACATCATTTGGACATGTAACAGGTGATAACAATACAGTATCAGAGACTGCACACGTAATTAACATCATGTTATCATTTCCACTGTGAACATTACCACGTTGTGTAGGATATGAATGTGTTTCAATCTGTCCATTGGATGTTTCATTTACACCCCGTAGGTTTCATCACTTTCCTACCAAACCTGTCTTGTGCTGTAACTCCAAACCTATTGAGAGATGACAATTTAGTCCTTTAGTCATTTATGTCTCAGGAATACACCCCTTTTATTTATGAAAGGTATTCATGAAACACCCTGTATATACAGTATACTGTATTTGTTTTGGTGGTGCATACAATTTTTTAACAGGTTTTGGGTCGAAGGGTTTTGGGTTGGAACTCATTTCGGCTTTTAGCATGGGAACCTGTAGGGAAGTGGGTCTTATTTAGTAAGAGTTTACCTAACAAATACTTTTTCAAGAATTTCTGTTACTTGTTAGTGGGACCTTATTTCGTCATTGCTCATAATGACCCTAGATATCTCGCCCAGCTTGCTAATGTTCGTAAGGATACCAAGGCTAAATAAATTTTATGATTATGGGGTCCCCAAGTTATGCATTAGTTACGTCCCTGGACCCTGTTCATAAGTTGATTTGTTGGTAATTCAGAACCATGTTATTTTTGCAATAAAATATGAATGAAATCCATCCCTACCAGTAAAACCATAAAAAAATATTCCATAAACAAATATTGTAAAATTATTATTATTAGTAGTAGTAGTATTGCCTTGACCTCTGAGGATGGCTTTCTCATAGGAATGGATTGTTTGGAATACTGGTGGATGACCTACCGTATTTTGCGGCATATAAGACGCACCGGCTTATAGGACGCAGCCTAAATTTAACATGAAATATGTTGAGAAAAATAAAATTGGGGGAATTTTAATGTTAAAAAAAATTATTGCCACTTTATTTGTAAAAAGAAAACATTCATACCAAAACATGCCAGTATGTAGTATTGTAACTACCAAAACAAAACAAAAATAGTTGCCAGGTGGGTAGACCGTTGTTTGTTGAGCATTAGCCTGTAATTTACCGGTAAGCATTTTGTGCCTCAATGAAGGTTTGTTTTATTTTATATTGCAGTTACACGTTTATACAGGAAATATAACACTAGTTATTGGTGGTTATTGGTGGGAACTCTGTAAACATCTATGACAACGAGCGGTTTGCCTGACCGCTGTTGGTAGTTTCAAGAATTATTGCATTCATTTACTGAATATTCCGTGTTTATTTATTATTGTTTTAATTGTTCTCTTTGTTAAATGGAATTATTCTTGTAATATACCATTTATATTCATTCTGAAGTTGTTTGGATTCATAAACTAGGGGATACCGAGATCCCAAGCTGGACCCCAATCCTGACCTACACCATATTGGACGCAGGGTGATTTTGAGGGTCAAATTTTGAGAAAAATTTGCGTTCTATATGCCGCAAAATACGGTAATTACTAGGAGAGGGGGAAGATGGTGTTGGAGCACATTGCAATGGTATAGGTCTTCTGGTCCTTTCCACACTGTTGGCAGTCTTTTCATCTCCACATTATCACCCATTCTCTGTTAAATAATAATGGTATACTGCTTTGGGGCATATCCTTTTTTTTACATGCTCATGAACTCAGTCCTTGTCTTTAAGACTTGTGTTGATTGTAGACTGGTTCAACTGTAATGACCGGCCAAATTGGTCTGAAAGGTAAGAGTTTGACCCTTTTCGGGCTTTGGATCATCATTTTCACTATTACACTACCTGGTCATGTTGAGGGTTTGTCAAAAGGAGTCAGTGGGTACTGAGAAACACAATCAGAATGACGATCATCAGACTGTTTGTTGTTGTTGTTTTTGACGGGACTTGGAACTGCCAAGGTGGTAGAGACGCACCACAGAACAATGTATAGCACATTGTTTGTAAGTATGTTGAACTGGAGTTTATTATAAATATAATGGGATCACATTTATAACTCAAACATTCAAGTGCTCCTAATGAAACCATATTCTGTACTGTACAGTATACAGTATTACAGATACCTTTACTTATGATGAGCTCAAGTGGCCCATAGGTGCTCATTGTAACTCCTGCAATGATACCAGTTATTTCACACATGTTCATAATGACTCCTAGGGAATTACAGGTGCTAATATTGACCCCAAATGACTAATAGTTAATGAATCCAGATAGTCATTGACGTTATGAGACTCAAAGGATTTCTTAATGTTTCCAAGTGCATCATGCCAGCTCATAATGGTACTAAGGGCTTATAATGACCCCAAGTGACTAATGCAGGCATGGACAATTATTTTGGTTGGTGGGTCATATCATTTTCTTTGCAAAAATTTTAAATTTTACATGACAAGTGGCTTAAATTCATGTCATTCAGTTGAGTACTGCTCCAAGGTGGTCACTGTGTTGAGTACAGCTCCAAGGTGGTCACTGTGTTGAGTACAGCTCCAAGGTGGTCACTGTGTTGAGTACTGCTCCAAGGTGGTCACTGTGTTGAGTACTGCTCCAAGGTGGTCACTGTGTTGCGTACAGCTCCAAGGTGGTCACTGTGTTGAGTACTGCTCCAAGGTGGTCACTGTGTTGAGTACTGCTCCAAGGTGGTCACTGTTGAGTACTGCTCCATGGTGTCAAGGTGGTCACTGTGTTGCGTACAGCTCCAAGGTGGTCACTGTGTTGAGTACTGCTCCAAGGTGGTCACTGTGTTGAGTACTGCCCAAGGTGGTCACCGTGTTGAGTACAGCCTGGTGGGGTCACTGTGTTGAGTACTGTAAGGTGGGGGTCACTGTGTTGAGTACTGCTCCAAGGTGGTCATTGTGTTGAGTACAGCTCCAAGGTGGTCACTGTGTTGAAAGGTGGGGTCTGTGTTGACCCAGGTGGGGTCACTGTTGAGTACAGTCCAAGGTGGTCATTGTGTTGAGTACAGCTCCATGGTGGTCACTCACTGTATGAGCACTGCTCCAAGGTGGGTCACTGTGTTGAGTACTGCTCCAAGGTGGGGTCACTGTGTTGAGTACTGCTCCAAGGTGGGGTCACTGTGTTGAGTACTGCTCCAAGGTGGTCACTGTGTTGAGTACTGCTCCAAGGTGGTCACTGTGTTGAGTACTGCTCCAAGGTGGTCACTATGTTGAGTTCTGCTCCAAGGTGGTCACTATGTTGAGTACTGCTCCAAGGTGGTCACTGTGTTGAGTACAGCTCCAAGGTGGTCACTATGTTGAGTTCTGCTCCAAGGTGGTCACTATGTTGAGTACAGTGGTCCCCCCAAGTACGTGGATTTTAACTGCGCGGAACCCAACTATGCGCATCAATGCCATGCAACCCAAATTCAAAAGTATGCGGGGGTCCCAAGTACGTTGGCGTAAATTTGTTTGTGGCATGACCGAGTGAGGTACAGTGTTGCCGTAAATCCACACTTGTGGATGACGTCAAAATCCTACACATTTTTTCTGGGTGATGTCGATATATAGAAAATGTGTCGTTGGAGTACAGTACTGGTTATAAGTCACATAAAAGTGTAATATTATCGTTCATACCTCAGGAAGTACTGTATATCTAAATATGTACAATTGCCAGCAAAAGTCCTCCCACAACCCTGTGTAGGAACTTTTACTGACAAATCTACATAAGGCCTAGCAGATTATAGAAAAAAAGCATTTATACCTCATATTATTCATAGCTGTTTGTCAAATCATCGATTTGCCACAGTTCACTCAAAGGACAAATGACATATAATTTATTTTTTTTATGATAATATGGGGGAAAATAAACACCTCAATATATTTTTATTATAATATGGGGGAAAATAAACACCTCAATATATTTTTATTATAATATGGGGGAAAATAAACACCTCAATATATTTTTTAACGATTTATTTATGATTTACTGTAAAAATGTCCATAATCGAATGATGTGGAATTCATTCCACAGTGACATCACTGATATGGAATATGTCCGATAGGTCCACGGTCATGACCGATGCATGTTTGTTTTCCACACTAGCGACCAAAATTCCACAAAACAGGGAGGAAGGGAGGAGAGAGGGGAAGTGAGCAGAGGAGCTGGCTGTTGATTGGCTGAATGGTCACTAACAACCAATATGACAGCACTTCCTGGCCATGGTGTCACCAACAACGTGGACGCCAGTCCCAGTCCTCCTCTCCTCAAGACACTACAGCAGCTTGCTTTTTCCTGTATTTTTGAGATGTTTTGGGTTGCTACAGCCAGGCGGAAGAGTGAAGTCGATGACCCTGGCACGCAAGAAGATAATAGACTGGCTGGACGATGGGAAGAAAAGTTTTATTCTTATTTAAGGGCTTATTTCTGTTTTATTATTCACCTTAAATAACTATGGTACACATTTAACTGAGGGTAACTTACTTAGAGGTTGTGCAGAAAAAGTGCTTTGAAAGACCAGTTTTGGGTTCATGGTGTGTATCTAGAGGGGTCCCAGAATTTTTAATTTTGTTTTTACTCTCCAGTAGTTTATAGTACCCAAGTATACAGTTCATGGTTCTCAAGTATGGGCCACTTCGTTGGCACCAATTACCTGCGTACTTGAGAGGAGCGCTGTACTGCTCCAAGGTGGTCATCGTTCATCATAGATCTTATAGTTTTCATTTATTCTGCTTCACTATAGAATTTTTTTTTTTCTCATACAGTATGTATATTGATATGAACAACACAAACATCCTTTGATCATGAGCCTTTAATTTTGAGAATGCACATTTATTAGGAGAAATACAAAATGGAAGGTATCATTGACTTGAACTGCTCCTAAAGCAATAGATCACGGGCAAGTCAATAAGGCCAAGTTGAAGATTAACTAGGGTTTTGTCAATCTCAAATGAGAAAGGAGAGGCAACCAAGGTCATGTTATTTTAGATCATTTGGGAGACTTGGAATGATGAGTAAATTTGGCATTTTAAGTCAAGAATGTCAAAGAAGTTATTTGATTTTTTTGTCACAACCAATAATTTGCTACAAAGTTGTAACAACTGTTTGTTTCTAACCTAACAAAATTAAAATATTTTTGTCATAAATACCTTGGCACTGTAATACGTATATCTCATATACAAAAGTACATTTTACCTGGTTTTGGATTGTAAAACCTTGATAAATTGGACTTCAACATATTAGAATGTTTTTTTTTTCGGACTGAGAAATACCAAAAAAAAACAAGAAATGGGGAAGATTAATAAAAAAATCTTAAATAAACAGCACTTACTGAATACTGTACAGTGGTCTAATCAGATTTGCTATAGGCCTACTGAGAACTAAGACACTTGAGTATGTTAGCAGGCTGGGGCTGACCGGGTGTTGCCACATTTGTCAGGTTTATTTATTTATTGATTCAGTATTATATTCTCATATGATTGGCCTCTTATAGTTTATGGTTCATCATGATTAATATAACATTTTCAGCAATAGAGAAAAAATACAAAACTGCATGTAATTTGTAATATGATTTGAAAATAAAAGGATAAGCTGTATCAGAAGGTTATTTACTGAAGATGTGTTCGTGTGAGAGCTTTCTGCAGACTAGCTTACAACAGGGGTCACTACAACACACTGTATAGTATTTGATATGAAGATAGCTTACTAAAAACATTTACTACCTTTGAGTGTTATATGATGGCTCAATTTGGCTACTTATACACTTAGACAAATGATTAATGAATAAACCAGGGTATATGCAAATGAATAATACTTTACACTACAATATTATTTATTAAGTGGTGATAAATACGCTACAATAGTATTTATTAAGTGGTGATAAACACACTGCAATAGCATTTATTAAGTGATGATAAATACACAACTGTACTGTATTAATTTACTAAGTGTTGAAGACAGACTTTGTCATAAGCCGATCAGCTGTTTCCTCTTGTAAACAAATTACTCATTGTGTTCAGTATGGGATTCTTTTTTTCAGGAAAGTTGATTTTTTTAGGATAATATTTTATCAACTTGGTACGAAGTGATCTTAAATTATATGAGAAATGTGGTGAAACTGCATAAAGAAGTGTTAAAGGAATCTTGGGGAGAGAGAGAGGGGGGGGGAGCCACCCACCCATGCTACCCCCTTCCCCTCTGCCAGCTGCTCCCAGATTAACATAATAAACTAAGGAGTCTGCAATAGGCTGGTTGGCCTGTGCAGTGCATGGCAGCTCCTGTCAGGAATTACAACCACCCTCTATTGTCCATGAATCTATCTAGCCTCCTTTTAAACCCTTCCAGCGTCCCAGCACTTACTACAAAGTTGCTAGGCTTGTTCCACTCGTCTACCACCCTACTTCTTCATATCTCCCTCCTAAACCTAAACTTATCCAACTTAAATCCGTTATTACGAGTCCTATCCTGCTCGGATATTATCAGAACTTTATCTATATCTCCTTTATTGATTCCTTTCACCCACTTAAATATTTCTATCATATCTCCCTGCACTCTTCGTCTTTCTAGGGAATGCAAGTTTAGTTTCTTAAATCTATCTTGATAGGGAAGGTTTGTAAGTCCCAGAATCATTTTCGTCATTCTTCGCTGCACCGACTCTAGTGAATTGATATCCAATCTATATTAAGGGCACCAGAACTGAGCAGCATAATCGAGGTGTTGCCTGACTAGCTCAAGATATAATTGCAATATGACCTCTGCACTCTTATTACTTACACTCCTAGATATAAATCTAATACAGTACTCGGTTTGCCTTATTTCGAACATTAACGCACTGTTTTTTAGGCTGAAGGTCCGGGCTTACGAGTATCTCTAGGTCTCTTTTCACAAGTCAACTTTTCTAGTTCGATGTTGTTAAGGCTGTATACGTTTACAGTATTTGTTCTTCCAATATTAAGTACGCTGCACTTGTTGGTGTTGAATATCATTTGCCATTTTTCTGACCACTCCAGCAGTTTATTGAAATCCTCTTGTAGTGCATTTGCATCCTGCCCTGAATTAATCTGCCGCCCTATTTTGGTGTCATCCTCAAACTTGCTTATGTCACTGCTGATCCCAATATCTAGATCGTTTATGTAGTTTATGAACAAAAGTGGGCCCAGTACTGACCCCTTGGGAACCCCACTAGTAAGCAGCCCCACTCAGATTTAAAACCATCTACGCTGACCCACTGTGTTCTATCGGTTAGCCACAATTTTATCCAATTTAAAACTTTCCCCTCGATACCATGACACTTAACTTTTCTCAGAAGCCTCTGATGCGGTACTCTCAAATGCTTTGCTAAGTCTAAGTAAATAACATCGTAATTTTCGTCATTATCTACTACTTCGACGACTTTCCAAAAAAAGTCAGCAGATTTGTTAGACAAGATTTTCCCTTTGTAAATCCATGTTGAGAGTCGTAGATTAATTTGGTTTTCTCTAAATGCGATCGGATGCTATTTGCTATAATCGATTCAAGAAATTTCCCCACCACTGATGCTGATGCTCTGTCTCCCTTTTTGAATATGGGTACTACATTTGCCTGCCTCCACAAGTCTGGCACAACTCCCGTGTCTAATGATTTTGTAAATTTCATCTGGCCCTGGGGATTTTGTCTTTAATTTATCTATCTTCTTGAGAACATCCTCTTTTCTGATAGTGATATGCATTAGTTTCTCTTTTTCATTTCCCCTAAATGTCAGTTCCACCTCTGGCATTTCCTCTTGAATTTCTTCTGTGAAAACTGATAAGAAGTAGCTGTTTAATGCTTTGCTTATATCCTCACTATCATCGATCACTTCCCCTCTCTCTGACTTTAAAGGCTCCACTTTGTCCATGACCTTTGTCCTATATACAGTACTGTACTGGAAAAATCCTTTGCGATGCGATTCGCCTCGGATTCTCTTGCTTTCCTGATTTCGTAGTCCCTCTTTTGCCTTCCCTACATTTTTCTTAACATTCCAAGATAGTTCATCAAACCTATCTTTGAGATGCTTCTCCCCTCCCTTTAATTTCTTATAAATTCCTTTCTTTATTCCTATGTCATGTTTAAGTTTTTTGGTCATTCGCCTTGGCTCATTCTTATTTGACTTAATTTCTCTGTATGGTATATTTTGTTCCTGTGCTTTACGTACTATACTAGTGAATTTAGTATAGTCATGATCAACTGTTGTGTTACTGGTAACCTCACCCATTTCTACCAGAGACTGACCTGGCCATTCCCAGGTGACCTCACCTAGGTATTGTGTGTGTGTGTGTGTGTGTGTGTGTGTGTGTGTGTGTGTGTGTGTGTGTGTGTGTGTGTGTGTGTGTGTGTGTGTGTGTGTGTGTGTGTGTGTGTGTGTGTGTGTGTGTGTGTGTGTGTGTGTGTGTGTGTGTGTGTGTGTGTGTGTGTGTGTGTGTGTGTGTGTGTGTGTGTGTGTGTGTGTGTGTGTGTGTGTGTGTGTGTGTGTGTGTGTGTGTGTGTGTGTGTGTGTGTGTGTGTGTGTGTGTGGTGTGTGTGTGTGTGTGTGTGTGTGTGTGTGTGTGTGTGTGTGTGTGTGTGTGTGTGTGTGTGTG